TGTTCACTGGAAATGCAGAGGTGTACATATTCAATAGTGCAACACCCCGCCCACCCTACTTGTTGGTATAAACAATTTCGTTTAACACTTCGTTTGCTTTTGTTTTTTCGCCTCTCTGCATGGCCGCTAGTTAGGCACACGTCTAATTTTGCACAGATGGAACAAGAAAGTTTAAATTGATAGTTTACGATTCGATTAAGAATATGCGAGTATGAAAGCCTCGGTAAGAAATCAAAATCTCAAAATATGCATGAAGGTAGCTGACTATCTCTTCATCTCTCCTGCTCTCCTGCTCTCCCACTCTCTCGCTCTCTCCTCTCACTTATCTCTCTCTCCTTCATCAGATAATTCTCACATGGTTTACTCAATCGCAAGCCACACGAGTTTTCAACCTTTTAATCAATTCAAGCGTCATGTTGTGATAAATCAGTGATGGTTTTGTTTTACCCATGCAGACCTTTTTTAGAAAAGAAAAGAATTGAAAACGAATTATGTCATATTTATCTCTCATCCCGCTATCTATGTTAAATATATAACGGCAGACGAATGTATACTTTAGTATTAATGATGCAACATGAATTAAATATTCCAGTCAGCTGTCATAAATAGAGTATATATTGATTATCTGAAATATGAAAACAGTATTTATTGTACATACAAGACGAAGCTTCTGTTAAAAAAATTCGGGTATAAAAATTAATATAGAAAAAATAAACTCAATTGTTATGATGACTGTTATTAGGATAACCGAAACTGACTTCAATATTTTCTACTACTTTGACTACGAATAGTATTTACATTAACTCCTCACAAAACTGCTGGGACCATATAAAATGTCTTAGGATAAAGACTAAAACATTCATGCATTCACATTTAGAGTTCATTGGTAAAATCCACTTTGTCATGGGTGGGAAAATACCATCGCTTGACTGAGAGTATGATGCCTTGCCTTCATGTAGTTTCGGTTTTAGCGCTTTGGCGATACAATACTTCCTTTTTTTATGTTGAAAATGTAATGGACCCTAGGTAGAGTCGATGACCTGAGCCTCTGTTTTTTATTCAAATAGTAAGAACAGAAGATACAATAGATGCTGGTGATTTATTTCCCGAATCTTGAGGAAGTCGGTTTTTACTATTAGGTTAGTGACCAGGGGACCTACGGCTTTTATAGTTCAGTGTGATAAACTGGTATTGTTCATGAGGATTAATGGATTACTAAGCCCACGCACAGGAACTTCTCATTGCATTCAAACCTGCGACCTCCCGGTTACTTATGTTACAAGGCCACTGTTCTACCAATGAGTCATCACACCTCCTCATGTGCAAACGAACCAGCACGATATCGTTTTTACTCCATAATGTTATCCTTCATAGCATTAAATACTAGGTAGAATTTCATCTTTTTGTGTGTGTCTGGTCGTGTAGGAAAAGATACTTTATGAACATACTTATTCACACATGCTATGCTACTCCGGGCTACTCCACTTTTGCTCTTGATTAAAGATCCCAATCTATCTTCGATTTTTAAATCTGCATTTTCATTTTCTTTGTTCCGTCTCTGTTATTTCTTCTGAAATTCAACTAACCCATTTAGAAAAAGAAAAAAAATGTATACAAAGTTTTTATATATAAGTGTACATTTACCACACCTTACAAAACAAATCAACAAAGAAAAAGGCGGAGAATGAGAAAAATAACACAGTATTATCAAAAGTTTACCATTGTTTATGTGGTGTTTATGATCTCCATGCACTAGCGCGCGTGCGTACAACCAACCATGTGACTTGCTAAATATGAAAATTTGGGGGGAGCAGTATAATAGAATATATAGATTTTGTAACGACTATCTGTTGACGTTGCTCCGATTATTGATTGTTAGTTATTTATTAATATCAATAAATAAATATTATCAATTCTTTAATGACTCAATGAATGGTTTTACAACTGTATGACTTTCAACTGTCAACAAACGCTCCTCTACGTGGCTGACTTTGCTTTGATATATGCTAATGAACTCAAGTCTCTTTATAAAGGAAACTGGAAATGATTAGGTGAATGACATTATCAATATTGTATCATCGGCCAGCTTTGGGCTAGCCTAGTCGATGCGGTCCTGTACTTCTGTTTCAGCTAGAAATAATTAAGCTCGTATATTTATAGCTATTCAAAGTTGACCCCTCATCCTCTGCTCCTAATAACTCGACCCTCAAAATTAATAATTGCCCGACGAATCGGGGTAGTATCACAATCAACAATATTTTGAAAGAAAACACCGACTCGACTCACACTCCTTATAATTGAGTTTGCGCCCGGGATCTCCCGATCATATACCTCTGTCCTTTCCTCCTTTACGAGTAAGAAAATAATTCGGTGCCGCAGGGCGTGTGGAGGAAGGCGGAAAATGTTATGACCCCGTTTTCGAAGAGGTTTTATCTTTTGCATTGACACTGCGGCGGGATAACATGGGTATAGTGTTGAATGAATATCTGGGGATCTTAAAGACACCAAGCTGACAAATGTTTAGGGAATGGCGTTGTTACTTTGATTCATTCAGGTTTCTGCTACACTGTGCTTTCTTCGGAATGCTTGGTGTAGATGAATAACATGCACTCTCTTTAAACGATCAGGGAAGACGAAAAACATACACGCTCATGCTTGTTTCTAAAGTCAATGGAAAAAAAGATTTAGACATTGATTGTAAAATATATTGTTGTTATTGAGTAATTATTCATTGATCATTCATTTAAAATGAAAGCATAATAAGAATATTGGAAGCTAGCAAATTAAACCAAAATCGGGGTTCAGTGTTTTACTATCTACCTTAGATGATTCGCACAGTGTGGACCTTTTCAGGTACATAATGGCAATCTTTAAATCTAAAACAAAAGGGAATTTTTGATCAGAAGCGTTAAAGGTAATACAAATTTTTGGGAAATTTTGAAAATTGGGTAGATAGTGAATCTTTACAATTTTGATATATTTGGATGCCCCTGTGGATGTATTATAAGCACTAAAAAAAATTAGCCCTCAAAACACTTCTGTTTTCGAGAAAAATTGAATATAAACATTTACCGGTGCTCCCGGTAAATTTTGATAAATTTCAAATCGCGCCTATGGCTGTACAATGGTAGCAGCGACCATGAAAATCTCAGCATATGTAGTCGGGATATATAATTTCCAAACAGGAATAGCTAATCGGTCGATTTTAGTCAAAAACATTGTTTTATAGCTTGATTAATATCTTGACCTTGAGAGGGAGCTATACAACATAAAGAGTTTATTATTTACAATTTCATAACTTTAGACTCGATTTCAACCGCGACAACGATCACTGAATATTGCAGGATCGCATATGATTCCAATATGTTCATTTGAACCAAGTTCATGACCCCATACTAAAACTTTGTATTACCTTTAAAAAGGGGAATTATAATATCTTTCTCTTAAAGGCCGTCCGTACTAGTTTGGCTAGAAGGGGTTTGGCTAGAAGTGACCACACCCAGTGTGGTCACTGACAGGTGGATATCTCATCAACTCAGCTCTCAATTAACATGGGGACCAACGGTCACCGATTAGGAATTGTTTTCTATATTGAGGGAGCAAGTAGCTACAAGTAGTACAGTGGGGATTTAAGGACATTTTCTTTCACGATTCTTTACCAAATAAAAAGAGTTACAGTGCCTGTAATTCAGTAAACTGCCTTACTACTGCAAACCTTTCACGAATGTTTGTTGAAGCTCTCTCTACATTTGCACGAAGACTCCAAACCTTATGGCTTTAGTGTTACCAAAGTAAATGATCTCGGGATACATTACTTTCCTCAGAAGAAAAAGGATAAGTGCCTTCCAGTGGAATAACTGAAAGTTGAGCTTCTAACAATGTCATTGCCTCGACTGTCACATTTAAGCTATTTGTATATATACCCTCTCTGTCGCTTAAATGCCATGGTGTTGATCCAGCTGGGGCCGAATCCATTAAAGCCGAAGTCATACTCGGGACGATGCATTCTGCGGCGTGACAGTGAAAAGTGGTCCTGTCACGGAAACCGTGTTTTTTCTTTCTTCTCGTGTTTTTCTTTCCACTTTATTTCGGGCATCATCCTCGAACTGTAATAGTTCCGAGTAAGGTGGTAGTGTTTTAGAAATGCTATATATGTAACAAACAATATTATTCAATGTCTTGAGCGTTTTCTCTTGAAGTCTGGCTAAATGCAGATATGTTCATATGAACTTCAAAGATAAACATGAGTTCTGGTAATGCGATTGCATTGTGAAAGAAAAGGTGTGGAATGGATCAGAAAAGTTGATCATATAGCATGTAAGTAATGGTGTGTAATGCAAGGTTCTGGAGTCATCAAAATCATCATAAATTTGGCAGAGTCTTGGTAAAGTAACAATCACTTACACAGAAAGATGTATATGGGACAACGCACATGGTGTCGGGGCTAGTACTACCCTGATTTCCTTATATTTCTATGCTCATTACTCAGCCAGTATACATTTTATTCCAAAATTGTTTGGCACATGACATTTATTTGTAATCTTGAACATTCAGTGTAAGTTTCGTTAGATTCTGTGAGAATTCATTTTCTTTTTTTACCAGAACTCAAGTTTATCTTTGAGAAATAACCTGCGTAAGTCCACATGACAAGAACTTTGTAGTAAATGCATTTTATATCATTATAATATTATAGAAGTTATTTTATATTTATCTAGCGGATGACGTGGTTACTCCAATAAACAGTGTTACTTGGATGACCCCTGTTCACTGGATCTCCACTCCTATGGAATATTCCTACTGTTTGGCACTGTGCACATACATGCAGGGCAATTATTCTCACATGCAGGTACCCGTTATCTCATGGATGTAAAATGGCTATTGTGACAGGAAACGCTAGAGAACATAAGCTTTAGAATTTTACGTTTCATATTTCAATATTATTATTAATTTCATATGCAATCGACTTTATTGATCACCTTTATTTCCTCTCTATCCAACAGGCCCGGCCTTCTGGGGAAGGATGTATTCAGCTTGGTTTCTATGCAGTAAGGGACAGAGACAGTCACCTATAGATCTACGAGCTGAGAGTCTAGTCTACGATCCAAACCTTCCACAACTTGAGATAGATTCACCCGCAGAGGTAGGCAGCAAGATTCCCCTCTATCTTTCTTTTCCCCCTTCCCTTTCTCTTTTAGTCTCTCTTCCCCCTCCCCCTCCCTCCATTAAGTTATGACACAGCCCAATATTGTAACGGCTCGATTCATATTCTTTTTTCCAGGTCAGTCTTGTGTCGGTGTTATGAGCTGACTCGACTCTATTTAGACTCGAGTCAATTTTCTCAGCTGACTCGACTCGTCTCGACTCAATTCAAGTCGATTCTCTGTTGTCTCGACTTGGGATATAAGCTTTGAAGACTCAAATTTTTACCATTTTAACATATAAATTCAATGTGTTTTATACTTGACTTGACTGGACTCTAACCACAACAAAAGACTTGACTCGACTCGAAATTCAAGCTTTTGGAACTCGATTAAAACATAGGTAGTATTATAATTACTCGACTTAGTCTTTGAAGGCGACTTGACTCGAGTAGCATTTAGGATCATCTCTACTCGATCCCAGATGCGACCTTAAGGGACTCTGCAACACTGTCTTGCCTCACCAGTGGAGAAGCTTACTGATAACTAGATATAGAGGTGGAGATTAAGAGTGCTAGAAAGTTTCTTTAAAAAATATTTTCGATATGCTTGCCATGATGTCCAATCGTCTGGTACAATGATGCAGCAGCCGTCAGGCCATAATAATTTTTAGACTGCCACCCAAAGACAGTTGTAGTATTTTCGTTGAATAGACAATCGTCGAAAACTTCCACAGCACCGCTTTCTACATGATACGCGTGATTTAGACAAGCATGACGAACGTAATACTGTCACAACACATCATGACATGGCTTGCTTGCACCCATGTTTACGAGTTACTGTTGCAAATAACCCTGTGTTGACCGGGACAATCTATAAGTCACAATAATTCCTTGTCACGTTCGTCTTTCAGTATACGTATCGTTGACTTGGCTTTGTTTAATCTAGTTAGGGTGTAATGAAATTAAATCAAACTCAGAAATCGTCACTTCATCTAATCTAGTGGCGTGATGCGATGTCTCGTTGATGCAAAGACAATGCACGTTCACATTATGTAAAACTTAAAACAATCTTTATCGTCGCATTTACATAAGATGTGTCCAATTACCACATCACTGTCTTGGTTGACAAAACAGTCATCCTCAAATTAATCACTTTCCCTTGTTAAAATTCGATATGCTTATGCTCCCCATCTTTTATTTGTAGAATAGTGGGCCGGATAATGACATTAATTTTCAATGGAGATAAATTCAGTATAAGTTTAATTTATTGCATTTCCTAAACTTAAACATTGGCGATACTGATGGTTTAAGAATAGCATTATGAGTCAGAATTATATGTGATGGTAGCCAATGTGTTCATGAATTACTTATTGATTACGAACAGATAATCATGTTATTTGCGAGAACGATTATTTGTACACAAATAAAGATAATGTAAAGAGTCGGATGGAGTTAAAAGATGAGGTTGGGATCGTAAGAAAGACTATAGGACAAGAATATAGAGAGGTGTGAGGGTATAGATAGATAGACACAGAGAGATGGGTGGGATGTGTGAATGCAAAAAGAGGAAGAAAAGGGAGGAGGAACAAGAAGAAGAAATGGGAGAGAACGAAAGAGAGAGAGAGAGAGAGAGAGAGAGAGAGAAAGAAAGAAAAAAATAGAAAGGAAGAGAGAGTATGAGGGCCATACAAGTGTTGCTCTTATAGAAGGATCCTCCATTTTTTTTCCACTAACCCAACTGCAATACTTCATAATGTGAACAAGGACCATGGCGGATAACTCGAGACGCCACGGTCCCTCAGTCAGAGCAGATACATCTCTTACTCTCTCTCTCTCTCTCTCTCTCTCTCTCTCTCTCTCTCTCTCTCTCTCTCTCTCTCTGGTCTGAGCCACTAGTTGGCCTACAACTCCGCTGCTCCTGCGGTGATAACGACACGTAAAGCCCGTCACTCGCCGAAGGGCTCTCTGGAAGCAGCGAATAGACAAGAAGATGAAGAATGTATCCAATTACGAAATGAATGAGAGGCTTTGCACACATGGATAGAGGAATGCTGATGGATGTGACCGCTATAGACATGTTGGGCTAGAGAACCGAGACGGTGTTTAGGAATAGTCGAGATAGCTCAGTCAAATGATAAGGAGAAGGAGAAGAGGATGCAAGTTGGGGAATGCACGGTGAAATTAATGATCTGACAGAAAGAGAGAGAGGCAGTGAGAGGGAGGGAAAGGAAGAGAGAGAGAGAGAGAGAGAGAGAGAGAGAGAGAGAGAGGAGAGGGAGAGAAAGAGAGAGAGAGAGAGAGAGAAAGAGAAAGAGACGGGGTGGGGTTAAGAGAGAAATAGAGAAATTTTGATGATTATAACGATAATAATGAAGAGTAAGAAAGAGAGAATGTGTAAGAAATGCACAAAATGTGTATTTGGCATTACATTAATTTGCCACTAGGTACCCGGGAGAGAAATGGGTCCTTGTAGAATGCAAGAGCCGTTTTGCCCTTTTTTCTCTCAAGGTGACTATTATGGTAGGGATACTCATAAGTGGAGATGGTGCACATTAGGTATCGGAAATTACTCCGATGACCGGGAGTATTACATTCGTATGCAGTAACGAATGTAATGAATGGGAGGCTTTGTACACACGGAAAGAGGAATGGTGATGGATGTGACCGCTGTAGACATGGTGTGCCAGGCGACCGAGACGATGTTTAGGAATAGTCGAGATAACTCAGTCAAATAATAAGGAGAAGAGGAAGAGGACACAAGCTGGAGAATGTCTGCGGTAATATATTATCAGAGAGGGAGGGAGAGAGAGAGAGAGAGAGAGAGTGAGAGTGAGAATGAGAGAGAGAAATAGAAATAGAGAGATAGAGAGAGATAGAGAGAGAGAGAGAGAGAGAGAGAAAGAGAGAGAAAGAGAAAGGGGGAGACGGGGGGAGAGAATTTTTTTAATCTGTTAAGATTCAGGTGTAAGCCTTTGGAAGAAAAAGTAAGAAAGAAATTTGGAATTTAGTCTTACACTCAAAGTCAGAGAAAAGTAGGGCATTTTGAATTGGGTCTTGCTGAAGGACTATGATTTGCCTGCTCGTTTTCGACATAGGAATTGTTCATACCTAGAAGCTAAGATGGCGCTATGTAAGATTGCTATCATAATTGGTCACAAATCGTGAGCAGTGAATCAATTTAGATGCACGAGGAAGAATATACATGTACACTATAACGACTAGCTCCAGACTCTATCACCTCATTCACCTGGACAACTAGCCTCGTGATAATTAGTATGTGCCCCCCCCCCTCCCCCGCCAAACTTCCATCAGAAAATTATATCTTATACACTATACTTTTCCCCGTATGAATACTCCCAGACAAACTTTCCTTAAAATATGCGTAATACCAACAAATGTACAACCACATCGGTGGTAATAGGCCTACAAGGTAGTTGTCTGGGGTGACTGCCTCGGTCTAGTTATCCTAGCATCGGATTAACTAACCGTATACTGTTTGACTCTATGATTAGATGTTTAAATCCTTCTTTGATTGTCTTGATATCAAACAGAGAATTTGTTTCCTTCGTCCTTTTTTCCCCTCGGTCTATTTGAGTTTGTATGTAGCGTCATTTATTTTCTTTTTTTTTTAGTGCATGGCACCTGTTATCGCATTTTTAATATGGAAACAAAATTATTCAATTTTTAAATATTATACTGAATTGACAGAAAATAGTTGGTAACTGACACAAAAGCCCAATATTGTGACAAAAGTTCATTCTTGAGCCCATTTCGTCTTTCTATATTAATATGCAACAAAAAGCATCAAATGAAATGAGTTAAAGATAAAGACCAGTTATGGGCATGCGATCGCATTGTGCAAGAAACGTTGTGGAATCGATTAGAAAAGGTTGATCATCTAGCATATAGTATTGGTGTGTACTGCAAGGTTCTGGAATCATCAAAATGATAAGAAACTTGGCCCAGTCTTCGTAAAGTTACAAGCACTGTACACATAAAGATGTATATGGGACTACGCACACGTGCGCGACACGTGCGTTTATCTCTCACAGTCCAATAGATAAACTAATTTACCAAATATATCAATTAGTAGGTGGTTTTCCGGCAAATTTGTTATCATCATGTATTAGTCAAAACATATTCTTTCACATAATTGGTAATAAAGAGCTTCCATTTCGTTTTTTGAAATTGGGGCATTTCCCATACTGGTCTTTACCTTTAATATATTTAATGACATTTCGATGTTTTATCTTTGTTTTCTTCTAGACGAATGGAATCGTGAATAACACTGGTCGAGGTATATCGTTCTTCCCTGATCCTGCAAACGTCACTTACATATCACGAGGGCCATTGAGTTACCGCTATCGTCTAGTCGAAATTCGCCTACACTTCGGCGGGGAGAACACGCACGGATCGGAACATACCGTTGGGGGTCGAGCTTTTCCGGGCGAGGTAAGTCGAGACGAGATGTCCTGATTGTTGTAGTTCTAACTTGATTTGGGTCCGACCCCCTGTGATATGAATACATTTTGAGTATTATGCGTATGATCTAAAGAAGTATTATGTTTGTCATGTTGGGTAGGCTAATGTTACAATGAGGTTGCTTGTGTATCAGGACGAATCAATATCTGGAACAGATTCGGGGTTTTGATAAAAGTCATGAAAATATGTCACATAGCCGATTGCATTTGGGATATGTATGATTATTGCTTTACACCGAATGTAAGAAAAAGATTTGTGCTATGTCCTACTTTGAAAAGGGCGGTTGAATATTTTCAATACTTGGACTAGTTTTTCTTATAATTTCAATTCCCTCTCCTCAAGATCCACCCAGACAATCGATGTTAACAAATTTCATTCACTGGTTAGAAATACCTTAGATATACGTTAGAAAGGGAGAACAAATCATTGTTTATGTTACATGAACATATTTCTAGTTAAGTGATTTCTAAGAACTTGTACTTTTTTTGTTTACAATAAAGATCATTGCATACAATTAACAATGAGGTCACATCCTATGTTTTATTTCATTTTATATACATTTATGAAATAATATCAAAATGCAGTTATATTTTTCAAAATCTTATTAATGTTCTCGTTTTACTTAGTACACGAAAAACAACTAAAAGTAAAACTGGACCCAAAGTATTTTCTCTCTTGAAAAAAAATTAAGTCCGAGGTTCATTTTATTCTCCATGAGCATCATGCATTAACGTCTAACAAACGATTAATGTGAACTTGTTTTGAGGTGTCAATTCCACATCATGACATCACGATATAATCTCGTGACACTGAATCTCGTGACACCGAATCTCGTGTTACAGCAATCTCGTGATATACATGACCTCTCGTGATCTCGGACAAAGATCTAGGCCAATGATTGGATAACTTTTCGACCAAAGATCAAGGACTTCACGCAACTCAAAGTAAAAACAAAGAGACTTATTAGATGGGGTTACCATTACATAACCCTAATCGAGAGATGAGTTGAAATTAAATTTGTCATGAAACGTTTTACACCAAATGCAAAATGAGGCTCTGAGAATTTGGAAATAAACTAAATTGCGGTATCTTAGGCGGATTCGCATGAGAATAAATAATTCCCCCACAATCTACAGATTCATAATTATACTCACGATAGGGATTATTTCAACTGTTGCTGTTTTCTAATACCATCTTACTCTTTTTTATAATTCCGGATCCACAGTCGGATATGATGACCCAGTCTTCAACTATTTGATATATTTACGTTTCATTTTTTTCCTTCAAATTGCCTTTCATTCAACATGCCTTGTCTTTTTGTTCGTAAATAGAAGACATGTTGCTGATATACAATCATAACAAAACCCTAGAGCAATTTTCCGTCCTACACGAAATTATTAGTTAATTGCATTTTATAGCTAGAAATTTAATCCAGACCCAGTCATTCGGGAAAGAGGGCGCGTTTATTGCGTTGAATGAATTGGAGCAAACTACAAGCAGACGATCGTGACGCCAAACGATATCAACCCCTCAGATGGGATCTGATTTTGGTGGGAAAGTGATCATGATCGAATCGGGAAGAATCAGCTTGAATATGAGAAGGGAGATAACTCGCAATCAGATTCGACTCGGGCTTCAATGAAATCTCAGTAGACATTCCTCAAAATTACTGAACATTCCTGAGTCATACACTTCCCTTCTCCCTCTCTATCTTCCTCTCTCTCTCTCTCTCTCTTGTTCATTATCATCTCTCAATCCCCCCCCCCCCCTCTCTCTCTCTCTCTCTCTCTCTCTCTCTCTTTCTCAAAATTCCCCCCTCATTCTCTTTCTCGTTTTCTTCATTTCTCTCTCTTTCCTTTCTCTCGTTGTACCATTTCTGTTTCGTGTGCTCCTTCCTTTTTGTTGTCGTTATTCCCTTGGCTGTTTATTCGCGGTTATCGGTTATGGATGTGTAAAATTAAAATCATGCGGAGAAACTCTTTTTTTTTCTTTGATGATGACGGAATTTCAGCCAAATCCATTTCTTATTATTGATCTCCATGGTTCTCTAACATTCTTACTTTAGATTCCTTTGATTTTGTTTTTCCATCAATTCATCTTATCTAACCTCAAACAAATCAACACTGTTTGTCATAATTCCGTCCTTACAATTATGTTAATAATAATAATTATATTTGCTTATATAGCGCCTAACACTTACTTTATCAGAAGTCTCTAAGCGCTCTACAATAATGCAGCATAATTACCCTGGCTTTAGCAGTGCAGCTGTTACGCGCGCTGCGTTTCAAGGAATAAATTCCTACCAGGTACCCATGCTTACTTATACTACTCATGTTACTTATGCTTCCTTCCCTTACTACCGGCATCTTTCTTCATCCAATTTCCTGTTGGACATCTATTTCTTTACTGTTCGTTTATAATAATATTGGTATGGTATGGTATGGTATTTATTATCCAAATCACAATATAAAAAACAATACATTCACAATAGAAAAGTGCATATAAAATCAATAATATAGTGAATGGCTGGATAGCCCACTCATCTTTGTTAACATTACAAAACTTGTCTTCCTTTGGGTCCAAAATACAACAGTGCAGCCGGTATAATTTTATTCGTAAAATTGAAAACATCTAGAAACCACAGCACATATAAAAATATAATATCCCCTCCCCCTTCCCCGCTCCCGGTGTATGTTCATAGTTTGCTCATAGTTTGAATTACGATATGACAGCGCCTTCCGGAGCTTAATATTAGATATCCGCCCGTGCAGCTGAGATGTAAACTCGATAGGAAACAAAAATGACATTTTGATTTATTATTAGGTGGCAAGCGCCTTCTCTTATTGCACCGACCAATATTGGTGTTGATTACGGTGCTTGGGAAGTGTCAGTTATTAAAGAGTTCGGTGTAAACAAATCGTGTAGGTATCTTTAGATTAAAGTGTATGATTGATGGGACGCTTGGCGGTGTTTACATATCAACCCCCAATCTGTGAAGTAACATTGCGACATGCCTCGTCAATCAAAACATGTTCATTATCGGAACACCCCCGTAGACCAACAGCCCATGAGACCGACATCTCTCTAGATCGACAGCCAATGTGACCGACAGCAGACGAGACCGACACCCCAGGAAACCGTCATATTCCTCGACCGAAAGCACACTAGACCGAAAGCACGTGAGACCAACAGCCCATAAGACCGACATCCAATTAGACTGACAGCCCAAAGGACGAACCGCGAAGTAGACTGAAAGCTTACGAGATCACCATCTCAAAAGACCGATCGACCAGGAGACCGACTGCCTACGAGACCGACAATGTCTATGATGTCGGTATGGTGTTCATTAAAGTTCTGAGAAGGTTTGTGAGACCACGATGAGCTGTTGATCTCGTGAACCCTCATATATCTTGGTGTTGTATTGAATAATATTTAAAGAAATGCAATAAATAATAATGATAATCATCATCACCATCATTTTCAAAAAGAAGAAGAAGAAGAAGAAGAAGAAGAAGAAGAAGAAGAAGAAGAAGAAGAAGAAGAAAAAGAAGCTTCCTTATTCCTTCAAAAAATCCACTAAAATGATAACAATATCAACACAAAACAAACCACCTTTATCAAAATACTTTCATCCCTTTTTCGCACCCCTTATGCGGTAATAGCAAACAAATTTTGTGCTCGCTAAATTGATTGAATGATATCATTTTTTTTTTTCCCATTTCATTTCTTCATCTAAATATTGATTTAGATGAAGCGGTTTATACCACTAATCATCTTCAAGGAGCGATTTCCCCGGGCAATGACATTTAAACAGTATTTCTTGAAATATCCTTTTGAATAATAAAGCTCAGATTTACAGATTGTATATTTTGTTTGTTCTAGGCATATAAAAGTACTTGCAACCACAATTAAAAGCACGAATAAAGACTCTTTTGAAAACAATGTTCCCAAATGAACGAAATATGACTCATGAATTAATAAAGCGAACGAAATAAAGCCTCTGTAATGAAAGGAAATTGATTTTAATGCTGATTAAAAAATAAACACATCGGTGTATGGTAATGACTCAAAATTGTAATTTTCCCCCTTTTATTTCTTTGACAAATTTACTGCAACATGGTAATACACAGTCTGTATCAATTTAGTAAAGCTTTTTATTCATCAATTACTCAAAATGACTCATTTTGCAATTTAGACGTCTGTTTAGGCGACGCCGCCGTAATTGAATTGATGAAATGACTTAGATTACTCTCAATGATATTTGCAGGCGTGCGGGAGATAGGAAAATATAATTGCGTAATCTTTTTATTCTTCATACCGTGTATGCAGTCAATACCGAACTTAATCCTATATTGAAAAAACACAGTTTTGACGACCATTACACTTTAAAAGAATACTTTAAACCTTCCACAGAATGCTGGATTTATTAAAATTTGGCCATGCTTGTATTTAAGGGCAGAGCTAAGCGTTTACTCAATGTTATTTGCTTCATTTCTTGAATTATATTTCCCCATTGCTAATTTGCTATTGATATTTTACATGCAGGAATTAGATGTTCATGTACGACATGGATTTATCCCATTGCCTTTCGCAGTAGAAAAGAAGGTTTAATATGAGATAAAGATTAGATCATTAATATGTAAAATTATAATTTTTAATCTGGTTTAATGAATTACTCATGTTATTCGAAATCTGAAAATAGATGCACTTTGAACAGAAAAATACGCTATGCATCCATAGCGTAAAGTGTCTGTGTGAACTTTACACATGATAAGAATAAAGAAGCTAAAGAAGATGAAGTTGAGTTTTGGTCATGCGATTGCATTGTGAAAGTAACAGTGCGGAATCGATCAGAAAAGGTTGATTATCTAGCATATAAGTATTGGTGTGTGCTGCAAGGTTCTGGAATCATCAAAATGATAAGAAATGTGGCCCAGACTTGGTAAAGTTGCAAGCACTGTACACAGAAAGGTGTATATGGGACTACACAACTGGTGTCGGGGCTACTAAACTTGATTTCCTAATCTTTCTATGCTCATTACTCAGCCAGTACATTTTCTTCAAAAATTGTTTGGCAAATGACATTTATTGGTAATCTTGAACATTCAGTGTTAGTTTTGTTGATTATGTGAGAATTCATTTTCTTTCTTTTTTAACCAGAACTCACCTTTATCTCTAATTAACACAAATGCGAGAGACGAATCAAACTTGTTAGGAGGAGAGGGGCGAGATAAATTCATGCACTCTGAAAAGGATGATGCTATTTTATAGTGATGATGATACTGAAATGGGGATCTTTCTTGATTTCTCATATTCATAGACTCAAGGATAGGCTTTGATCAAGCAGAGAAACCTAGATCAATAAACTAATGGAAATTACCAAAGATTGCTTTAGAGTGCTATCATGGAGCTAGAATGAGGCCTTAATGGCCGTCACATTACATCTACATCACATTTCTATCAATAATTAACATGGAGGCGATGGGGCCTGTATGAGGAGGATGCGATTATACCTTATTCCAGTTACTTTTTTATATTTCAGTATTGGTTCTCCCCTCCCACACCCTCTGTGTGTGTATGTATCTATCCCTACACATCTACACATGTATCTATCTATCTGCCTGGATGTATACCTATCTATCTGTTTAACTATAATATTTATTAATTTATGTATGTATTTGTCTATCTATCTATCTTTCCATCTATCTATTTATCTATATCTATCTACTTATATATCAATCTATCTATCTATTTATCCATGTATATATCTAAATTTCCCCTCTCCTTCTTCATCTATCTCCATGATCTTTCTGTCTCTTTTCCCCCACTCTTCTTCTTTTCCCCTCTCCCTACTCCCTCCCTCTTTATGTCCCCTTCCATTTTCTTTATTCTCCAACTAAATCTTTTCTCCTCATTTTCTTTGCTATCCTCGCAAACTGATGTTCCCCTTTTTGCTTTTCTCTTTAAAAGTGTTACCTCTTCCTTTACGTCTTCATCCCTTTCTCTTTCCATTCCTCCTGCTACTGATTTCATTCCCTTTTCTTGCTCTTTATTTCGTCTCCGTAGTCTGTCTCTTTACAGAAAAAACGTCACCGGAAGACCTAATGTGTTTTCTTTGTCGATACATCCAAATTTAGAACGACTGATGTCGGTAATATATCTCCTGTTTTTAACAAGGTAGTTAACCTTTGGCTGGATTTCTCTTCTTTTAACCGATATCAGACATGTGGATTGATCGGTCATGAATACGTCATGCAAAATGAGAATCTATACATCAACCACGGGGCATTGCAAAACAATGAATAACATTTCAATTTTATCTACATAATTATTTTACCATTTTGTACTGTAGTAGACTGTTCTCCCCCGGACTTTCAAGATCAAGTTCCAAGTAATTTGTCTTCTGGCCATAATTCGCTTTCCTTAACACAAAATGTTGTACTTAGCTTGCCTGCCAAGTAGTTTAAAGTGTATACAAAATAACAACACACAAACAGAAAAGCCAAAAGGGTCAGTTGCTATTTTTTAAATACAAATTTAGGCTTGTCACATTCTCCCTCGTTTTAAAACTCAAGTATAAATATGAATGTACACGAAGTTAAAACCTTGAATGAAACAGTATGTTTTAATCTCAATGATTACTGCACAAATCCTGAATTTGCAATCAAAACTTTAGCCATGTAAGTTCCTGCCAAATAAATCAATATGTATTTAGCGCTGCAAGAATAATTGGAATTGACATTCATACCAAACATAAAGAGCGCCATCCCTGTAGATGTATTTATATGAAGGAGTATCCCCTACTAGGGAATCAAATGACGCCATCATACAAAGGAGGAAGACAACATGTATCTAAATTATTTCTTAACAGTTTATGTGATTTCATGCAAAATTTGTCTACATGCTCCTGATATAATTTGTTCAAAGTTATGAAATTAGGCCCCTTCGTCCTAAAAGTGCTAAAGGTTACTGTAAATCATTTTCCACAAATTTTAATCAACTTTAATTTTAAATGTGCGTTTCATATATTTATGCATTTATCTCTGTGAAAAATTAACTAGGTATAACTATCCTCTTGTGGTATTTAGTAGGGAGAAATAGCTTCAATCACGTATGAATGATGATTGCATTTTAATGAATATTTCCTTCCTTGAAAATGTCCCAGCAGCCATTTCCCCTCTCCCATACAACTCTCGGTTCATCTGCTGCCAAGCAGGAAGAAAAAGGATAGACGGTTTAATTTGTGTAAAAGAATCCATAGCCATGTTGGTTCAATCGACTATACATCAAACACTAGCGGCTACAGATAGTTTGTTCATCATTCTTAAGATAATGATAGAGTGAGTGGATTGCTTAAAGGTACAAACGAACCTTGTTGTGATTCAAAGGAAGAATTGCTTGCTGCTGTTGAGGTTTTTTCAACCACTTTAGTGTTATGCGTCTGGCTGTTTGCCCCCCCCCCCCCCGTGCTCTTCCCTTTGTTTCGATTTTAACGAGAATATTAAAGAATTCCACAGTATTATTAAATCGTATTAGGGATTCGTACTGATCCATTCTGTTTGCTCAAGTACCATTTCCCCTTTAATTGTCGAAGATTAATTTCTTTATTTGCTCTTGATAAGCGAAAAGACAATTTGTTAAACCCCTTGTTAGTTCAATCAAACTGTCCTGTATTTTAAACAGTTTGTTTCGCCAAATTGATGAGATAAGAATTTATTGAGGTTGATCAAACACAGCCTCCATAATAATTTACCTTAAACTTTATCTAGGTATAAGTTTTAGGTGTTCTTTGATAACTGCTTGAAATAAGAAATATATTTTCCCTTTGATATAAAATGATAACACGGTTCGAATTTACTCCATCCAAAACGAGGTGCGCATTTAAAGTTTGCTTATTGTTTTATATCTGTTGTCATGATTTCTTATTTCGGTACCTAATATCATGATGACATCACTGTGTATATTTTGTGTCACATTTCATAAGATCAACGCCATCAGCCAAATATGTTACCATCAATATTCAAGCTATATTTATCACCATGAATCATTCATAATACAAATTCCACACGTCATGCGACCTAATGTCTAAGATAATCCTGTAATAGATTCAGTTAGATATTTATTAGGATTATTTTGTGTTTCTTTCTTCATTTTATACGTAAAGACATAAGAAGGATACGATTGCAACTGGGTGAGACAAAAAGATGGAATCGAACCCAAATACTCTGAATATACAGCAGATAGTGTGCAGACGAACGACGGGCCATTGCCCTGAAATGGATTAGGGAATGATATAATCGGGTTTTTCCCAGCCGAGCAATTATCATGATGAAATATCATGAAATTGATATCATGTGACTGATCTTATGTGGGATGAATACGTCTTGGCGACTGCCAGGCAATTTTGAGAGTTGAAACTAAGTAATTATTAAAATGCCGAAATTTTTTGACTGCCATTATTTAAACCTCGCTTAACGTGTAACCAAAATTAAATCTGGTCATGATTTTTATCAATACATCTAAACCATTTTCGGTTTGTTTCGTCATAACGGTTAATGTTTCATAGTGTAAAACACAAAATAGTTATTTTCAAGTAAAGCGAAATTTGTTTAAAAAGATCGCTCAATGGATTTATATACAAGCGGCCACTACAAAAGCATGTTTTGCTGTAATATCTATCTACGATATTTACCACTCATACACCATATAACCCAAAATACAATAACTTCGGTCACTGATAATTATAACATTTTATCAGCCATACTTAGTTTGATATAAGAATTGTGTTGCATATTTAAAAAGGTTATAGAGCTGGTTATTTCATATGGCCATTGGTGATATTTTGAAATTCTTACGTACATGAGTCACCGTTCAATGTGATTTTATTTTGCTATTGGAGGTATAAATAATAAAATGAGCAAATGTAACTATCTTTCAGGGTTTTCCATTATTCAGATTGCTATATGCATGCCAAGACAATGTCTAAACTTGGACGCGCCTTTACAATGTATTAATTTCAATTGAACTTTCGTCACAATTAATTATATTAAATCTGACTTTCCTTTTTTTTCTCCTCTCTCTTTTTTTTTGTTCCACAGTTGCAACTGATCTTCTTCAACGATGACCTGTATGATAGCTATGGACAAGCTGAAAAATCACCAAACGGACTGGCAATTATGGGACTATTTATTAAGGTAAATTCGAGATTTAATAATTATGTGGATCATAGAGGTTTTAAATTGATACGTTAATTTCTCAAAGAGGATACGACAAAAACGGTTTGATATGTTCACGTTTTCATATCAGTTCTCTCTCTCTCTCTCTCTCTCTCTCTCTCTCTCTCTCTCTCTCTCTCTCTCTCTCCTTCGTCCTCTCTCTCCCTCTCTCCCTCCCTCTCTCTCTCTCTATTTGTCCCTCTTTCTCCCTCTCTCCCTTCCCCTTCTCTCTCTCTCTCTCTCTCTCTCTCTCTCTCTCTCTCTCTCTCTCTCCTTCGTCCTCTCTCTCTCTCTCCCCCCTCGCTCTCTCTATTTCTCCCTCTTTCTTCCTCTCTCCCTTCCCCTTTCTCTCCCTCTCTCTCTCTGTCTCTCTCTCTCTCTCTCCTCCTCCTCTCTGTTTCTGATACCCGTATTGTCTATATATATATACAAACAATACAACCTGAATCTTCAAATTACTTCTCGTTTTGATGTCATGTATCCCGGAACCATTTAGACCGATAACGAATGATAATCAGTATCAGCAGAATATAAAATTATTTTGTGAGTTACATTGTTAGTTTTCATGTTCACTTTTACTAATAATCCGTGCAGTGTAAACACATACTTCAATCACTTCATGCACCTACGTCAAAATGGTGTAGCACATTTTGTTTACTCTATCAACGTTCATATACATGTAGGTTGCGAACGAGAAATCAGAAATAAACTATTTTTAAAAGTCATTAATTTAATAAAGAGAGTTTGACTGCGCGGAGTTCTAACTTTGCTCAATTAATTTATACCGTTTGTTACATGCATGTACTCCCAAACTGTTTTTAGTTTTACTATATTAGTTCCTTCAAGCATTACATTAGGATAAATAGTACCAGAGGCCACCTTCAAACGACTCCTTGTTCTGAATATTGAATTAGGATGGGGCAAAAGAGTTTATTATTGATCGAAATATAGTAAGAGTGCCACGCCAAAAAGAGTGCATTTATAAAATGGCTTTAAGGCATAAATAGCAACCCATAATAACTTGCAACTATCATGACTATGAATCTGGTAGAATGTTTTTAGGGAAGGAGAACTCACGAGAAGAAAGAACATTACGTCAATAACAGCCCGGGCCAATCCACTCCCCCCCCCCCCCCCCCCCCCCCCCGTTCCAATACAATTTCTGACAAAATTAATGTTAAGTGCCTTTCTTTCGGTAATTCAAAGGTTCTAATCTCTGACGGTCTATCTTTCTTTTGACAACGCATTTTATCTCAAAAAGATATCTCTCTGGGTCCAGCTTCACATATCCTTTGCAGAATGTGTTTCTTGAAACATACCAAGCACCGATGAAAAGTGCAATTGCCAAAGTCAGGGTCAGATATTTCCAAAGCACTTTAGAATCGCTTAATATGAATATGCATATTAAAATGGTATATACTTTGTAAATTAGCTGAGTAATGTCACACTACTAAATTATCAAACTTGTCTTGACCAAGTTGACCAACTATCTTATTTTGGGGGTAATATTTTGAGTTTTGTACCAGTGTCATCATATTTCTCTAAAATGTGATGGTTGAAAATTGTCACACGTCGATCGTTCCGAATAGGTTTCTAGAAAGTGCATTAACGTCTACAGTACCACCAATACTTAACTTCATGCTTATAATATGAGGGCGGTATAAATACGGCATGCGTATTCATTTACAAGAGTATTTGAAAGTACAATTTTTTTGTAATGTAACGACATTGAAAATGAGTCTAAGTTGAGTTGCACTCTGTCTTTCAGCTTACAGTGGTTTAGCAAACAACGAGTCGTCGGTATTAAAATCGGATTGCTCTATTTGACTTGCTCCAGAATCAACAGCTCAAAGTTCGATGTTCTAATGAGGCACTTTGTAAAATGGGTTTCTTAATTGAATTTAAAATTCCTTGTTACATCCATCAATTAGGCCCATGATACTCTCCCTCGTCCAAAGCTGAAGGGTAAAACACAGTGAAGAACAAAAACAAGAAAGAGATGGAAATGAAACCGTGAAAAGTGACAGCTGGACCGGGTTTCAATTTTAATCTAATACATGGAATATTGACTCAAATCAATCGCCCGGTAACTTGTTTCCTTTTTTAAAAGTGGCAAGCTAAAGCGATGTTCGATTAAAGCCATCGATTCTGACTACCTAGGGATTCAAAGCACCGAGAGTGAAGTACTTTTGCCCCTCTACTCCTTTTGCTGGCTTTTATAAAGCTCTGCACTTTCCTCCGTTTTCTGTAATGATTTTTAGATCGCCTGGCCCCGGATTTACGGACTCCCCGCAGAGGGCGTTGCAGTGCTTTATCGATTTTCTGGACTTTCACGTATTGAGCCAATCACACTAATGAGCATTGTCGCTCTGTTGTCTATAAATTGTTTAATTACAGGCCTGGGTTATTATACCCTTGTTCGGACAAGCCAGTGATTAATTAAATCCGTGATGAGAGATAGAGAGAAAGGGAGCTTTAGGAAGTCGTATTGATTTGAATGGGACTTATCTTTTTCTGTTTGATGGAAGCACGTCAGCTTTAATTAGTAGAACCTTGATTTAGAGGTTTACAAACATGAGAGCCGGTCGCCGGAAAGAACATTGGTATTGATTTTCCTGAGCATCGATACACTGGAGATTAGTTCCAAACGAAGGCACGTCCATACTGCCTTGGTATTTCAGGACTTTATCCATTTCAGCTGTGACTGTGGGACCGTGATGGCCCTTCATGTATTCTAGAATCAATTAATTCCTATCAAACTAATGTAATGTTTCATTAACTCTAATGAATCACTGTTTATCTGTACAAAGTGAGCGGAACACAAGCATGATGGTTTATAGATTAAAATAATGAGCATCGTTATTTAGTTGAATTGTCGAAATTGGCGAGTAGATTACCAACAAAAATAAGTTCACCTTTATGGGGTTCCTTTTATATCCCGGGATGTATAGGGTAAACAATAATTGCCAATATGATGTTTATGATGTTAAAGGGAAAGTCCACCCCCAAAATAAGTTTGTTTCGATAGAGGCAGAATAATAAAAAATCAGGTGAGTGAAAGTTTGAGCAAATTCTGAATGAAAATAAGAAAGTTATGAATTATTGAAGTTGTGATCAATCAAATACAAATTGGCAACTCTGTGACTTATTATACGAGCTCTCCTTCATTTGCTTTGTGCATAATATTCCATAAAATCATGTTTTCTTCGTTATTGATGACGGAATATATATTTGTTCCTTGCAGGGGGAGTATAGAAACATATTTGCAATTATTATATTTAGGGTGCATGTATGGTTGAAATTTTTCTTGAGGGAAAATGAAAATTTTAGATTTTTTTAGTACTGAGCAAATGGAAGTTGAGCTCGCATGATACGTCATAGATTTGCCAATTTGTGTTTGATTGATCACAACTTCAATAATTCATAACTTTCTTATTTTCATTCAGAATTTGCTCAAACTTTCACTCACCTGATTTTCTTATTATTCTGCCTCTATCGAAACAAACTTATTTTTGGGGTGGACTTTCCCTTTAAGTATACAACCAACTTTTGGGAGTTATGGTTCCAATTTAGGCGACTGTTGTTCATTTGCAGTATTATCAGACCGTCATTGGCGAAACATTATCTAAATCGGACATTAATTGCCCCCGATACGGTTGAGACGCATAATTACCCAATGTAATTGGGCAGTTTTCTGCCCGTCGTGTCGGACAGAGTAGGTTTAAGTTTGCACAGGCTATATTGTGGAAAAGCAATCCACGCCCCAGGTGTCTTAAAGGGGAAGTCCACCCTGAAATTAAGTTAGTTTTAATAGGAGTAGAAAAATGAGAGAAACAAGTCAGTGAAAGTTTGAGCAAATTCCGATTAAAAATAAGGAAGTTAGGATTTTTGAAGTTGTGATCAATCAAACACAAATTGGCAACTCTATGACGTATCATGCGAGCTCAACTTCCATTTGCTCAGTACTAAAAAAATCTAAAATTTTCATTTTCCCTCAAGAAAAATTTCAACCATACATGCACCCTAAATATAATAATTGCAAATATGTTTCTATACTCCCCCTGCAAGGAACAAATATATGTTCCGTCATCAATAACGAAGAAAACATGATTTTATGGAATATTATGCACAAAGCAAATGAAGGAGAACTCGTATGATAAGTCACAGAGTTGCCAATTTGTATTTGATTGATCACAACTTCAATAATTCATAACTTTCTTATTTTCATTCAGAATTTGCTCAAACTTTCACTCACCTGATTTTCTTATTATTCTGCCTCTATCGAAACAAACTTATTTTGGGGGTGGACTTTCCCTTTAATATAACACAAACATGTATAAAATCTAACATGAAATGTATAAAGGCCTGTTGTTTTTTGTTGTTTGTTTGTTTGTTTGTTTGTTTGTTGTTGTTGTTTTTTTTGTTTTTTTTTTTGGGGGGGGGGGTTGTTGGCAGAGCGTTGATGTAATACTTGCTCTAAACAAAATTCATTATTACTCTTCAACGCTTTTTTGTTCATGTACATTGTGGTTTATCCTAACCATTTTATTTTGTTTTTCTTTTTTCTTTTTGTTAACAGGAAGGTAACATGACTGGACGAGAATTAGGAAAATTATCAGGAATTCATGTGCTCAGACATTTGGTTTACAAAGGTATATATATATCTTTTAAATTCATTTACAAATCCAATGTATGTCTACTAGGATGTATTTCAAAGCCCATTACTATAGTTCATGTATAATAGAATATTATCGGATAAAGCGGTTTAAAATTATTTAGGCAGATAATGGCACACTTAAGCTTAACTACGTTAACTGAAAGTGCTTTTTTATATTTGATTTAATTTAGAAAAGAGATTCAAAATAAATTCATTTAAATGGCCTTGAGTGCATAATACCGAAAGTCATTGAGTGCCTCTTTTAAAGCAAGTGCAATTGATTTCTATACAGTGTTCAACTTCTAATGAGCGCATAATGTTTAAGTACTATCGACTTTAACAATTTTACCATCATGTCATTCACTCAACATGCATGTACAATGTCTTTCTCTGTCTTTCTCTCTCTCTCTCTCTCTCTCTCTCTCTCTCTCTCTCTCTCCCTACCTCTTTCTCTCTTCCTCTCGTTATCTCCCTCTTTCCCTCTCCATCTCATTCTCTCTCTCTCTCTCTCTCTCCCTCTCTCTCTCTCTCTCTTTCTCTCTCTCTCTCTCTCTCTCTCTCTCTCTCTCTCTCTATTTATTTATTTATATATTTATAATCTTTTGCCAGGGTAGCCCATTCCCCAATAAGTAACGGTCTTCCATGGGGCCCTGAATAATTATGAACATCTCTCTTTCTATCTCTCTCTGCCTATTTCAGGTAGTCAAGTTAACGTTTCGAGCCTCAGTATACCCCTTCTTCTACCCGAAACCAAGGAATATATGACGTATGAGGGCTCAATAACCACGCCCAGATGCACAGAGACTGTTACATGGATCATATTCAACAGACCCGTATACTTCACAAGCTATCAGGTATGTAAGAGGAAATCCCCCCCCCCCCCCCCTCCGCCCACAGGGAGTTTAGATGGTGTGCACTGTGTGCGCGAGGGAATCCATGATCGGGGTAATAATATACATTATTTCGTATTACATGTATTAAGCGCTATATAAATACAGATATTATTTTACAGATCAATGCGAACTAATAAATTCAATGTTGCTGTAAATTCAATAGCAAAATCCACAAAGCTTTCTCATAATTTTTTTGGAAAGGTGAACATTAACATGCAAGCTCTTCTTTTTTAGGTTAATAATAATAATAATAATAATAGCTAGTTCTTAAATAGCGCTTTTCAGGACTGAAGGCCCTCTCAAAGCGCTTTACAGATATATAATATATATTACCCCGGTCATCGATTTTAGGCTTACCCGCACACAATGTATGCACATTCTCCACTCCCTGGGGAGCATTCCAGCCAGGGGTCATTTTTACAAGCGCACATTTGCTAATCTAATCTAAGCACATTAGCTTTCGCATCCTGCCAGGTACCTATTTAACACCTGGGTGGAGAGTGGCAAATGTAGATCAATGTCTTGCCAAAGGACATTAGTGCCGTCGTGGGGCTTGAACCACGGACCACAGTCCGATGACATATCCACTCGTCCACGACACCTCTAGGTTGGTGGGGTAAGATATGAAAATACGTGAAGGCGGAAAAGAATGGCTCTTCAAATGCTTTCATATCCGAAATATGACAAGAAATGACTGAACTATGTGGAGAAAAGTTGATAAAGAGATAGCCTTGCTCTTGGCATTTCATCCATATCCATATATTATTCCAATGCCCCCTCCCCCTCCCGTACCCCAATCATGGGTAAACGTGACGTGACGTAGTGCCGTTAGCTAATCATGGCTAAAACAGTAACGTCACGTTATACATTTATTGTTGAGGAGATCACACGATCGCAAAGACTTTCGAAAAAATAAACCCAAGTCCATCAACTATTGGAATGTGCCAATATTACATTGATGTATTCCACAATCTGATCATAATTTCTATTGGATATGCAATAGTGTATTGAAATAACCCTTGTCTGATTTCTCGAAAGTCTTTGTGATTGTGTCAAATCTTGATGGCCATCTTATTTGCCTGATGCAGACTTGTATATTCTACACTTTTGTTTTATTGTCTACATTTTGATATAACAGCTCGACACATTAAGGGAACTTGTGAGTACAAGACGTGGAGAGGAGACGGAAACAATATTACGTAATTACCGCCCTCCTCAGAGAATCGGTACAAGAACAGTACGGACAAACATAGTACAGAAATACGCAGGTGGAAAGGATTGTCCGCTTCATAGGAGAGAGTATTCGTATAAAAGTAAGTGGAGAATGCTTGAAGTATTACATAGCAAATTAGTATATCTTTACCAAGAGAAGCGATTGGTTACCTTTAATATGTGTTGCTTGAAATAAAATGTGACCTGTTAGCGGCTTTCAACAGAGCTTATTAAAAGACGGAAAAGGGGAATTGATTTCAGATATACTGAAAGTTTGTCTAAGTAGTACATTTGGAATCGCTAGAATAATGTGTTATAAAGGTAAGTCTAAGTCCGATGACCGGGGGTAATAATATATCTGTAAAAGCGCTTTGACACATCTTTGTATCGATATATTGGGCGCTATATAAAATTTCTCTGCCTTTATGACCTTGTAGATAATTTTCCACTTTAGGAAGCCAGATGGTAAATGTACTTTCAAACGTTATGATTTTACCAATTGTATCACCTCTTTCGTAGAAGTCTAATGGAAGAAATATAATATTCTTTTGTTTTCATTTAGCCGACACGTTTGTAGTAATCTTATATTTTTGAAGAAATTTCATTGAGATGAAACAATTTTGACATGTTACAAGTGATATATCCTATTATTATTTTAAGAAATGTTTTTAATATGATTGTTTGTATTTTTCTTTGATTTTCAGCTCTCGTTTCGAGGAGGTGAAGACACGTGAATTGTGTACAAAATACATGTTATATCTAAAGTCCTCCATTCGGATACCTCTCAGAGCGCCCTCTCCCGTCTAGCAAGCTCCATGGTTTCACTCAACGAAAACAAAATGGCTGAAGTACAGGAACATGGGTTTATTTCATTACGATATCACATCACGCCCCGCCCATACCGGAGAGACCGATACTATAACGACAGGAGACCGAACAAAACATTACATAATTTCAAATGGTGATGAAACGACCATTATGGAGTCTGCTTTGAGGGTGCAGCTGATCATGAGGTATCACATATAATTAGATTATGTAGATACAGCGTGGTTTACAAACGCCCTCGGCATGGAACGCTTTGGACAACACTACTTTGTGTATGAAATAGGATTTTCTAAATATCTAAATCCCCCCTCCTACTTTCGCCAACCAGATTGTACATTACACATATGTCTAATGAGATTTTATTAATGATAATTATGCATAACTGTTGGTCTTGCTAGGGTGCCTAATTAGTAAGTTGGTTGTTAGATTCGGTCATAATTTCATGACTTTATAGAGTATTTCTTTACTGTACTCGTTTTTAAATAATCACAAACTATACTCAATTCTAGTATTGTCAAAGTATATGATAATTAAACTCTAACACGGCTTGTGCATCTTTAGAATCAAAGACAAACCGAGTATAATAATGTTATGCTGTATACATCTGTGACCATGATGAGATTAAGGAATAAGTCGAGACCAAAAGCCTATCAATTCTCCATTTTCATCAACATAAGCATTTGTCGCGACTAACCACGCACTACCAAAAGAGGGAGCTTATAATACGACGGTTGTGAAAATTACATGCCATTGAAACGCAAAAATGATATCGCTAAATTATTCCATTCATCCTCACATCGCTAGTTAATTCATTCATATTTGTTTTGTAAAATACGATGCTAATTTTGGAATTATGCATTTATTACTGGATAGAAAAATTATTCTTGCTGAAACAAAACAATTCTTCGATGACATGTTATTTTCTTCAAAATGCCACAACACTTAGCAATATTCAATGCATATTTGCCCTCCTTCGACATTGTTCGGTAAATTAGCGAGAAAATGCTACTTCGACGATGGTGGAACGATGATATTTGAACGTCCAAACTGGTTCATTCATTTCAGATGATCCGTTATTGATAACCTGCCAAAATAAAAGCTAGCTGATATATGATTTAATTAAAGGTATATGATTTCTTTTTTTAATTTTAGCTCATTATTAGTTGGTTGGTGTATAGAGAATTATTATATATGACGATTTGAAATGAATCATACTCCCATTATAGTCATTGTTATTTCAGCTCAGAGTCTACGTTTATTTATTTCTATACTTGTAGATAGCTGAATCATTACATGCTATTATAGGATGAACGATGAATAGCAGGGTTTTTTTCTTTTTGCTGTAATAATATTTTGTTATCTGTATCTTTCTTACTAAAGGTGAGTGAGCACAGGAATCATTTGAATTCTTGGTGAGTTTTCGTGACTACGAGGATAAGTGATCACGAACCCATGCAATTATTGTTTCTTTATATTCCTTTCTCCCTCTCTATCTCTCTCTCATTCTCTCTTTCTCTCTCTCTCTTTCTCTCTCTCTCTCTCTCTCTATACATATATATTTATGTATCTCTTTCTCTCTATCTCATTCTCTCTCTCTCTCTCTCTCTCTCACTCTCTCTCTCTCTCTCTCTCTTAGGGGCAACTCTCATAAATGCTTTTATATGATTTGGCACGTACCCCATGTCATTAAGACCTGGGGATACAGTTTTGCAGGTACCCTATTCATTTAAGAGTGCCAGATTCCGTACTCGCCAAAATGATTAATCTATAAACCAAATTAATAGAACAGAAGTTCATAGCAAACAGTTTAATGTTATGAGAGAAACTTAGAATTAGCTTTTATACGAATCATTTTTAACAGTAGAGTTAGACCTCATTTAATAAAATTGTAAACGTCAAGGGTTATTGTAGTCTACACCATTCACTTAGTGTATAAATAGTATAATCATGTATCATTGGAACTATTCTGGTGAGATTATTGTAAATAAATAATATACAAAGCTACAACATATTCATCTAAAATGTCTATTTATGGTTAATGAGCAATAACTATTATTCCGTATTTTGTCTACATATAATTTTTGGTTTCACTGCTTATATAGCTAGTTTGTTTTTATTTGTATATAGTCGTATCATTTGCTGTTTCTTTCCCCAAAGCATTCCACACATAAGACATTACGGATTGCTGTATTCCAAGAATCGTTCAAGTATTCTAGCGATTTCTTTTAAGTAAATACATCGCTTTGTGATGCCGTAGATCAAATCATAATGGGTGTAATGTATTCGAAAGTATATAATGAAGTTTGCATTTGTTTGCAGATTCCATATTATTACGATGACAGAGTTATACAGAGTTTACACAATTGTACTATGTACAATTGTACTTTAAGCTTAGCTTACAAGAAGCACAGTTTCCTATATATTTCCCCGGGATGAACATATTTCAATTTCACACTCTTTGATCGAATTTCACAAATATTACGGTACAATATTTTACCGTATTGTCCATGCACTTTAGTGTCTAAATACATCTTTGCATATTTTGAAATATCCTTTTAAAAGGTCTCTTAATAGTGTAATTATTTGATAATCCATAGTGGTATTAACTGTACCAATGTGATTCTGTTGATTTCATTTCTTTTATGCAGCTAGATTATTGATCTCTTGCACTTAGAAAAATGTATATCGAATTCAAATTATGGATTGCATTTATTGGATAGGAAATAGAAATCTGAGTAGGATATGTAAAGACCAAACCTGATTGAATTGAGTGCGATGAATGAGTCTTGTATGCTTGAAAATGGGTGGAATATTACTCCCCTTTTGAAGCTGATTGTGTGAATCATATTGTTTCCTTGAAAAATAAATTTCGAACGTATTATATTTCACGGTTGTTTCATTTATATTGATTGCATTTGTTTCTGTTTCAACGTGTTATGTGATCTTGAATCGATTAATCAAAATTATCTTCATGCATTGACCCTTTTTTCAGTTATGGGAGGGGCCCGAGGGGGTGATCGAGCGTCTAATGTAACTGATGTAAAACGGTATATTTTCTTCTGTGTATTACAAAAACCATTTGAAATGATATAAGCCCCGACCCTACACCTCATATTCTGAAAGGGTTAACTGCCAATATGTTGGGACTAGTCCGAAACATACTGCCATTCAAAATGTTTCTACTGTAAAGAAAAAATAATTTAGAAATATTCCTTTCTAATTTGTCTGTTTGGTTTAACCGCCTACCCCTTTCCAAGGCAATGTAAAGTAAATTCGTAGTGTGATGACGGTTTGGCAGGCGCGTACACAGGGGAGGGGGGGTTAAACCCCCCCCCCCCCTTTGGTAATTTTTTGTGTGTAAACCCCCCCCCCCCCCCCCCCTTTTGGTTTTTTTGGTTTTTTTTTTTTTTTTTTAATTTAAAAAAAAAAAAAAAAAAATTCCCATGGTTGACCTAAAAAGCTGACCTTACCCCCCTCCCCCAACGGAGCAAAATGTCAAATTTTCAAATTTCGAGACCAAAAAAAAGAAAAACGAAGCTAGAGAGACAAGGAATAAAGGTAAGAAAAACAGAATTGGTACATAAACTCAGATTGAGATAGAGAGAGAAAGACTAGAAGGGAAGGAGAGAGCGGAGAGAGAGAGAGAGAGAGAGGGAGAGAGAGAGGCATCGATGGAATAGATGAGAAAGAAATTGAGAACTGTCAAGATGGAGTAAATTATACAAAGAGGCAGAATATACAACTAGACAAAATGAAGATCAGTGGGAGAAAGAAAGACGGAGAAAATGGACAAAGAAAAAGAGAGTGAGAGAGAGCGCGCGCTGTGGATGAATAACATAATCTAAATAAATATTAAAACTGAGGGAGGGGGAAGTACACAAAGAAAAAAGCAAGAGTATATGTTGTGTGTGCGTGTGAGTCTTTTTTCTTCTCTCTCTCTCTCTCTCTCTCCTCCCTTTTCTCTGCCTCTCACTCTCTCTCTGTCTCTCTCCCTTCCCTCTCCCCGCTTTGTTAAGCCCCCATCACACAAAACTAGTTCTCACTACGTTCTAGAACCGTCCTAGAAAATCGTAAAATGGGGAGTGGTCGGGGCCGAATGTGTAAAAAAATGTCTATAATACGATCCTAGTTCGTTCATAAACAGTCCTCACTACGTCCATCTCGTTTGTACCCCGTCCACAGCCAGTTCATGTTAAGTTCAGATCTGGCAGATTAGGGCAGTCCAAGCCAGTCCGTAGTCAGTTTAAACCCATTATTAACTAGTTCTACCTCGTTCCCAATACGTCCAAACCTATTCTAACTGGTTCGCCACTTGTTCTAACTAGTTTTTAACCCAACCACCCCGTTCAGAGGCAGTTCAACTCTTCCTCATCTTATGAGTGCGTTCGAACGCGCTCCTAAAGCGTGTGCAATCCCGTCCTTAAGGCCCGGTCACACAGCCCTCCACGGGCTTATCGCGGCCGAATCACGGCCAAAAATTTCTGCCCGTGAAGCAGACGCTGTTGGACGCTTTGAGGTCGCGATAAAGACGCGATACAGCCGTACTTTACCCGTCTATACTCGCGGTAAGAAATTCACACGCGGTTGGCCGCGCGAAAAAGTTTTGGGCTGCCCAAAAATTTAGACCGCGCGTAATCGCGGGCGGTACACGTGGTACACGTGGTACACACGCGGTAAAGACGCGGTACAGACGCGGAACGAACGTGCTAGGACGTGCTACGGCCGCGGTTAAGACGTGGTTACACACGGAATTGGATGCGAAATTTTAGCGGGTAATCGCGGGTGGAGCACGGTCATAGCACGTTTGTTCCGCGTCTGTACCGCGTTGTTATCACGTGCATTAGCGTGTGTACCGCGTGTAAGCGTGGTAGGCCGCGGTACCGCCGCGCTTCACCCGCGATAAGGACGCGGAACAGTCGCCGGCGTCTGTTCCGCGGGCAAACCACGGTTAAACCGCGGGTAAGCCAATTTTGCACATTTTCCACCACGGGCAACCGCGGGCAAAAAAAAATCGCGAAATTTTACCCGCGATACAGACGCGAAAGGCTGTGTGACCGGGCCTTTACTCGGAAGTTATAAAAACCCAGCGCGTTCTCGCCATTCCTCATTCCCGTTCAACTTCAACGCTTTAGGCTTTGCAGATCGAGACATTCAAGTCAAGCACCTACCACACCAAACTAGTTCTCACTACCATCTGGAAAATGGTGCCGAACGGGCTCGAACTGTGTGCGAACGGAGTGAACGTATTAGCAACTATTTACGATCTTCTTAAGGACTTCATGGACGGGCTCGGACTGGCTTGGACGGGAAGGTGGTCCAGAAATTTGAGCCTGTTCAAAATTCTCCCCGTCCTGCAATTGGGCGGAGTGACAACGTACTTAAAACGAGATGGACGTACTACGAACGGAATTGCCGTACTATGAACGGAATTGTTGTTATTCGATCCCACTAGGAACGTGTTACCACGTGATGTGGTCGAGCATCAATGAGGAAGAACGCGCTGGGTTTGTATAGCACTCGAACCAGGACGGGATTGCAAAGCACGATAGAAGCACGTTCCAACGCACTAAGAACGAGATGAGGACGAGTTGAACTGTCTCTGAACGGGGTGGTTGGGTTATAAACTAGTTAGAACAAGTTCTGAACTAGTAAAAATTGTTTGGACTGCTTGGAAATATCAAATTTATCCGATCTGAACCTGATATGAACTGACTGTGGACGAGTACAGACGAGTTGGACGTATTGTGGACTGTAAATGAACGAACTAGGATCGTATTAGAGACATTATTCCAGTCCGAGCCCGTTCATAAAGTCCTTAAACAGGTCGCACACAGTTGCTATTACGTTCAACTCCGTTCGCACACAGTTTGAGCCCGTTTAGCAACATTTTCGAGAACGTAGTTAGAACTAGTTTGTTGTGATGAGGGCTTTAAATCGCACAAGGTATGCCGTTAGCCAAGCATTCTAATCGTTCGCTCATGCCATGAGATGGCGCTATTCGATGTAAAACGATGTACAAAAAGAAGATGGTGAGGTTGTCTGTCAGATTGTTAAAAGGAACGTCATATCATGATAACTTTCTTCCATGTTATACTAAATTTACTCAGTGATCTGCATGTGGGAGTGTCATTTTTCACAGGCGTAAAACCACAATTACGCTGCATTTTAATTTAAAGCGGACCAATCACACACATAGACACATAAACATCGCAAAGAAAAATATAATAATTTTACCGTTACCAACATAAATGTAGCCCCAACAAATACATGAAATATTCATATGGTCAAAATATTAAAGAGCATGAAAAGAAATGGAATTCATATCGAGGCCCCCGTGTAAGCTTACTTGTGACGTCATAAAGGGGAAGTCCACCCTGATATGAAATTGTTTATACTAGAAGCAGAAAATGAAAGGAACATGTCAGAGAAAGTTTAAGCAGTTTCGATTAAAAAATAAGAAATTTTTTATTTTTGAAGTTGTGATCAATCAAACAGAAACAGGCAACTCTGTGAC